TATGTGAAATCTGAATGTGATACGTACTGTAATGCTTGCAAGCAACTGTAGAATGGTGCAAAAGTGTATCAACAGTGTAGTTAACAGAATGAGCAAAACCCTATTCTTTCTCGGCTTTACTTTCTTCTCTGTGAGAGTATTAAATGTATCTTTTTTAGTCTTATTGTCATGGATTGCCATTAAACAGTCCAGGTGCCTTTCCTGTCTCCCACTCTTTACCCATGGGGCATCATTGTTACAGTATGTTTGGAAATGCTTGTAATTTATGCAGTGTAGAGATATTCTGCATATCTTTCTAGACAGAATATGAATGACAGATGGTCTATGACTGCATATAGCTGGGTTCTGGAACCTAGACTGCACTGTGTGATTATAAGAGGATAAACCATCACTGTAATGCTTAAAGGGTTAATACCATATTGAAAAAGAGAGACTCCACACCTCTAATCTGTCACAAAACTTAGCAGCTAGATACTACTTTTTCTTACTGAAAAAAGGGAAAATAGTTTCTTCACTTTCATCTTTACAAGAAATTCTGCTTTTACATCAACTTTGCATTTACTGGTAAATTACCATAAATGGTAATTTACAGTATAAAGCAAGATTGAGCTGGGGTTGTTGGGAAAATCTTGAAATTCCCGTTGTCTTCGGAGACAGCATCTCATTCTGCCTGTACAGATTGCCTTAGATTTGCAGGGTTTTGGTTTAGAGCAGCAGAGAATGTAGACATAGTTTACAGTAAAGAAAAAAATCCTATCGCAATAGAAACATCTGAAAAAGACTTCTGAAACAAGTACTAAGGATGTCCTCTTGACTCCTGAAACAAGTATTAAGGATGTCCTCTTTGAAACACAAAGGAAAATTCTTTGCTTTCAAAAATGAGGTTAGGCAAAGCAAGTCAAAGTTCAAGTTGGTCAACTTACAGTAAGTATCCACAAGCATGAAAACTGATCAGGTTGATCAGGTAGCAGAGGGAAAAAGTCATGTGCTAAGGTAAGTACAGTGCATGAAGGTCCATTTCATCCAAGTGACTTCACAAACCCTCTTCTTTTACTTATATTTAATCCAAAGTTTATATAAAAAAAAAATTGCAATATGCTGGTTCTTCTTTTATATAATTTTATATAACTCTGGGGAGAATTAAATTTAAATATGATTATGAAAGTACCTACTCTGTATAAGACCTTTCCCATTATTTCTATTTAATTTCCACAAAATATTTTAATTCAACGACCTTCCTTTTTTGAGACTTTGGCCTTTTAAAATATACTTTATCATTTAAATGACATATTTCCAAATTTAATTTAAATTTCATTTAAACATCAGAATTTGCCTATTCAGTAGGTAATGATAAGCTGTCTTTTAAAAGAAAACTTGTTCTACAACTGTACCATCCAATAGTTCACATTTTATATGCCTGCTAACATCATCTATCTATGTAATAGGATTTAGAAAAACATTTCCTTTTGTATGATCTTGACATTGCATGAATGAAAACAAGACAGGCAAATTTAGGTCAAGGTGAGTTTATTGTCCATAAGGCATACCTAATCCCGCCAAAACACTTTTCTTAAAACCATCTTTAAACTAGCCAAAACATTGGGTTATTAATAAAAATGACAACACTGAACAGAGAAGACCTTTCATAAGGTAACCAAGACTGTTTTCAGACTGTTTCAGAATCTTATCCATCAAAAGTAATCTCACATACATTCTAAATACTTCTGTTTACACTGATCATTACTACTACTTTCTAGCATCCCCTGACCATATAAACATCCACACCTCATAAAGAGCACATTGTAAGAGAATAAGAATGACTTGAAATGACAAGACACTTGTTAAAGCAAAAAAAAAAAAAAAAAAAAAAAAAAAAAAGGTTGAGAACAGAAACTGTGCAACCAAGAGTGATTTCTGAGGTACATGAGAACATGGTAAGAAACATAGTGGAAAAAATCCAGTGACCACATGGTTTGCTAAGTACTTAAGTCCAATTATTCAAGCATAAATCAGCACTGAAACATGAAAATAGGATTAAAAATACTTTTTTAAAATCATCTTGGACATAAAAATAAATGAGGTTCTCCTACTCTACAGCAGTGCGAAAGAGGGAGAGGAAGATCATCCAAGTACCATCAACAGGTAACAGAGAGAGATGTTTGTAGCGTAAATTGTGCCATTCACTTGGCACATGCAAAAGTATAATTTTCTTTTTCATTCATCAATAAGAAGTTTTATAATTTCTATAATTTAGGGGAAAAATCACATTCCATTTGCATTAATACTGTTATTTTAAAGAATGCCCAGAAAGGGTGTTATATTGGCATACCGTGTTTTTGGTCTGAATGCTACTGTGATCTGTTGAAGTTCTAGGTTTTACAGTATTTTAAATACAGTATGCTTCTGGTTTTAATCATCAGCATTTTTAAATGTCATTGCAACTGAAATACTGTTAACACTATGTCTACCATGCAATGGATTGCAAATGGCATTGAGACTTCCAAAACATTTTTCACAGTCATTCCTCACTCTTCACTCCTGTAATCACAAGTAGAAGAGCAGACTTCTCTAGTTATGAGTGCTTCCAGTGAAATCTGTGAAACTTGAATGGACAGAGATCCATTTTTAAGGATGAAACTAGAGAAGAAGCCTTCCTGAGGAAACCTCTGTGGAGAACTAAAATAATGAAGGAAGCTCTATAATGGTTCATCACATGTTACTCTTTCCCCCTAGTCCAAATTAACACAGAGGTGGCAAAATGGTACTTGTGTCAGCTCCCTGATGTCTTTTGAACAAGATAAAAACTGAAAGTGTAGATCACTCTGTATTAAAGTTTCCACAGCCCTTTTCTTTGTATTATTAAAAGCAAGTTGTCTTTTTGTCATAGTTCAGCAGAGCTGACTGTGTGGAGTGCTTAGCCTGTCTAACTTCTGCTCCTAAACACAGATGGTCCAGAATTACACATTAATGACAGGTCTTAAGCAGATATCAATATGAATACCTCCACCTATATCCAAACACACTGACTTAGACACTCCTTGTAATTCCAGTGCTGCAGGTTAGTGCTGTTGAGACACTGTCTGCAGTACTCTAAGCCTGGATAGAGGGATGCACACCATTTAAAGGCATACTGTACTGTACTGACTTACACTTTCTGTGTAGAGCAACACTAAAATCAACAATATTTTAAGGGAGTAAAAGTGCAGAATTTAGTCTATAGTCTGTGGACTTCTCAGTTATACTTCCTTATAAAATGATGTGTCAATATAAAATTTCTTGTGTACAGAAATTGTCAAGGACTTACCTGATCTGTCAGAAAATATTACTCCCTACATTTATTGTCTATGGTAGACACTTTTTTACCAGCTAACTGTTTTCCATCCAAGAGAGATGCAATTTCTACATTTTCCCTGTTCTCAATGCAGATGGTCAAGGTGAAAAATCATCACTTTGAGAAAAAAACACTGCAATTCACTCCTTTCTATCAGTATTTTGGAGATCTGCAGTGCCTCAAACTCATGCCTTGGCAGAACTTCCCACAGTCACTGGAAGCAGTTTGTGGAAAAAGCACTTCAGTTTTCAAATTTCTTTAGGAACATTTAATATTAACCCAGTATGATATTTTGTTCCACATAGAGCATTAAAGCATGTAAAAGCTGTGGTTCAAACAGCTCAGCAGTATTATTTAGGCCTCTAAGATCTTCTCTGGGGATGTGGGGATTGTAGGACTATGCCAATTATTTCTAAAGGTCTGATTTTTCAAAGACTCTTTATGCTCAGTGCCTGTAATCCTGAAGATTTCTCTGGCTGCTTTCAGGTCTTTGTAGCAATTGCAGAACAGATGGGGAGGAACAATGGTTGCCACATCCCTTGCAGCACTGGTTGGGAAGAAGGGGCAGTCTTATCTCCACTACCATGAATTGCTCAGTGCCGACATCTGTGCTGATGAACTGAGCAGCCTATGTTATGGCACATATACGACTGCTTGCTTTTGGAGCAAATGGAAATACCATAAGTATCTAGCTCCTCCTTGGAAGGGTATCTTGTCTCCGCGCCCGCTTCAGGGGCAGCTAGATAATGCTAGCAGGCTACAGCTAGCCCTTTGGGATTATTTAGCAAGCATTACAAGCATGATCCTAGGTGGTAAAGCAGCCATTCCCACTGCCTAGCAAGCTGAGTAGTCATTTGTGAGTTGGAGGCAGCATTTTGCATTCAGAGTAGGAACACATATCCTTGTACAGGAGAGGCAGTGAAAAATCATATTGCAAGTGCTTCCAAGATTTAGGTCAAAGTACACAAAAATTTCACTTGGATGGGTCCATAGATTAATGTATTTTTTCCACTATGAAAAGGATACCTAAGACCAAAAGGGAGCCAATGCCCCTGCTTTCTACATTTTTTCCTCAACAACCGGAGTGACCATGCTCTGTTCACTAAACCATGGGCTCCATATTGCCTTTTGCATTGACCGTTCCATTGAGGCTCCCAACAGAAAAAACTGTTAGGTTGTGAGGTATTGTGAAAATGGGAACCATTTTGTTTTGTCCAGTAAACCTGAGGTAAATATACTGTCTTTGCAGGATGTGATCAGGAAGGGAAAAAAAAAAAGAATAAAATAAAAAAATTATGAACACGCTATTAAAAAAAAAAACTGTACAGGGCATTTCCAGTAAATCAAAGTACTCATCATATCTCCACTTAACCATCTACTTCAGGATTTGAAATTTACGCAGTAAAATAATATATTATAAAAATGTTTATAAAATAGCAGCACACTCAGTGAAACAATACAGCTAAGTACTGTTAATGTGAATAAGAATGAAACAAATCATAGCTTCTTAGCAGCGAAAAAAAAAAACACCCTTAGACTCTTAATCCACTTTCTACCCTCATCTAGCCAAATATGTCTGAGTTCGTTCATAAAATATTCTTAAAAAAGTAGCACGTTCTTTCTGTATTTTTGTCTTTAAAAATGCAAACATTAACATTTCAACCAACAGCTTCCCACTGTATATTTGCAAACTGTTAATACAATTGTGCAAAAAAAGTTCCGACTCCTTTGCCATCTAAATTCTTCTTCCTTACAGACGGAGCAGAAAAATAAATTCAAGTACACTGAATACACCTTTGAAATAAAATTCCAAGTGACACATCTGGATGATTACCATTTCTGTCTTTTGCACCAACAATTTTCTTTCACTGTCCATAGCATGCGGGTATTAAGCACCTTCTGTGACACTGAACAAATCCGGAATGTCATGACAGGAATGTCATCTGAAGCAGGTATTTGTATTTCCAGCAACACCACAACTAACAAAGTACACCAGATACTGGAAAATAATGACTTATAAAAACCTATATGCTCTGCTTGTGTGATTTTCCTTTTTTTTTCCCTCTTTTCTTTCTCTCTCTCTCTTTTTTTTTTTTTTTGCTTGGCAAAATTGTCATAAACCATCTCATTTAATCCCTTAGGAACAATTTTCAAAGTGCTTTTCGAATGAAATGGTTTATAATAATGCTCCCTGTGGCCCAATAAAGTTAATGAAATGCTAAAAAATGTGTGTGTGTGTGTGTGTGTGTGTGGTAGATAGCAAGAGGAGGGTCAAAATAAATGTCATCTTCTTTAACACAGAAACGATATGTTAAAGAGAAAGATGGATAGAGCATCACTTAATTGTCTTACGACAAGCTAAGGAGCTGCCAAAAGTTAACACTGACGTGGAAAATCAGTGCTGTAAAATGAATATAATGCTTATTCACAGATGATCCACTACATCTTGCAATCCAAAGGCTAGAGGTGGTCTGACTGGCTGACTGGTCAGAATTAATCCATGCATTTCCCCATCCAATATCCAATACAAAAATTTATTGCTTTGGCTTGGCCCACAGTCTGGTAAAGTGGGACTGCCCTTGTGCCAAAGGTGCTGCTGTGTTTAGAATGAGCCACTTCTGAAAGAAAAGTAGAAAAAGTCAGAGGGGAGAGAGGAATAAAAAAAGAAAAAAAAAACACCTGCTCTTCTGGCTGGCAAAATAAAGCATCTTCTTTCTTAGGTAGCAGCTACCACAGACAGCAAGAGTAAACAAAACTAACATACAGAGATCAAATAAACACTTCTAACAACAGAGGTGACAGATCAGCAAATCTCTTCTGCATTCAAAATAGTTCAATTTCTTCTGGGATCTTTTCCTACTTCACTCTAAACCCTTATTCTATTGCTTTGCAATCTAGTCAAGCCATAAAATCGCACACACTGTTCCTTTCTTAATTTTAAAAAAGGGGTGTATGCACTAGGTCATAATACACACACGAGTATACTCTAGTTTGTTCCCACAAATGCAGGCTTACATTTGTCTAGCTACTTTGTATGCTTTTGTAAGCATTTAATATCGCTGTAATATAATCAAATAGCAATTACCAAATATATTGTGGGATTCCCTTCTGTAGAACATCACAGGCACCAAGTACATTTTTTCATTAATCAGTTTTTCTTTATCTAAAAGAGCTTTAAATATGTTCTATGTGGGAGCAGATTTAAAAAAATCACTCTAATAAGAAAAATAAAAGGGCTGGGGGAGCAAGCGTGACTCTTCCATGCTGATGTTCTCACAGGTTGATATCTCTCACATCTGTGGGAGTGCTGGCCTGGTCCAGTTCATCCACCATCTTAGAACGATTGCTTTGCTGTTGTTGCTGCCGGACTTGTCTAAGGTTGCTTACTAGGACCGCCTCAATCTGTTCTTGACAAGCTTTAAGGCAGTCCTACAGAAAAGAAAATAAATTAGTGTTAGTGATTTTTTTTCTTACTGAGCTAGTAAAAGTTGGAATAATGGAAATCACTCTTCTGGAGTGATTCACTCATAAGAAACATCTGCTGTGACAGAAAATGACCTAGAATTCTCAAAAGTAATCACTGTTTACAAATTCTCTGGGGCTGAAAAATGCAAATTCCACATTTATTATAACCTCCACATTTTAATATTTTTTACCTCTCCTTGCTCCTTTGTGTTGTCTTTCTGTGCAGAAGCTCAGTGGAATCCTCACCACCTTGTGTACAATGCAGGACATAGTACAGTAATTACTAAAAACACTGTTACTATTAAATAACAGTGGTTACGAAGAACAAGACCTTAAAATATTACAGGATGTTTGATATTATTGGTTCTACACTGGAAGACTAAATAATATGGTTAATAAAAAGAGAAAGGTGAGAAAAGACTAATAAATGTCTATAGCAGAAATTTAAAAATAAAATGCGGGCCATGACATTGTAAACACAACACTAATTCTCTGTATGCTGTGAGAGTGAATCAAAAGAATACTGTATATGTAGGCAAGTGGTTAAAAATGCTTATTTTTCTAAAAACAGTCCTGAGAAGTTCATCTAAAATACTGAAAAAGGAATGACTACTGTGAACTCAGCGAAGCTTTGGTTTATGTAAGAGCTCATTAACAAGTGGATGCTCTCCCAAAGACTTCAAGCAGCAGAGAAATGCAGTTTTTGGTAGTCCATTTTAAAATATAGTGTTTTAACAATAGATCTTGCAGCACCTGGCAAAAAAATTTGAGCTGGTATCTGGTTCCCACATTTAGGCACAGAAGCTGCAGAAAAAGTTGTGTAAATACTAACTTCAGGATGTCCACCAGCAGTTAAAGAGCAGATGGTCTGTGAGTACAACTCAGGGAAGCTGGACTCTGACTGGCAATACACAGTTTTTCTGCACAGTGCAATTTACTTCAGTGTGTGAAATATGTACGCATGTAGGTTTAATCGGCCATCATGGCTAGGCTGGGAAAAGATGTCAAATTTGGACTATCTGTTCCCCTGATGACATTTGCAGCCTTAATGCATACATTTTTTTGGGTGTATCATGAACACCCATTTTTCTTGGCAACTGGTCAGCAGCTACTAGCTGTCAATCCATACCCTCTCTTCGTAGAGAAACTGTTCATCTAAACATAATAAACTTCACACTCTTCCTCTTCAGATATATCTGCCAAAGAGGACTTGGGAATGACTTTTCACACTGACCCAGGGAAAATGGATTGGACAGGATGCTGGCTGCAGTGGAGACAAAAGTATTCAGTGGAGACAAACATATTCATGGCAGTATAGGTGACACTAGCCAAAGCCAACACTGCTCAACTAGAGATGCCATCTAAGAGTATCTGTGCTACCTGTGTGCAATTAAATTGTGCAGAAACTTTTCCTTAAAAGAACACTGTAATGCAGGGACACAGGAACTGGGCCATTCCTTCAGAATGGTGCAGTGTTGGTATTGTTTTATAAAATTTTTTTTATGTGTATGTCACATGGATTAACTTCCTCATTCTTCTTTGTGGTCTAGTAGTTTTAATGATGAAAACATCTCAGGTACTTTCCATTCCATAGTTTTATTTTTTACTTCAGTGTGTGCAGAAATAAGAATGCAATTAACTTTTTTTTTCCCCTGAAATCTTTTCACCCCTTGTTAATTTTACTAGCATAATCAGAAAGTAAAAGAAATATTTGTCTGATGAGGAGTAATCTCACATCTGTGATGGAAATTTAGATAGTGAAAATGACTGGAAAGAGAAATAAGCAGCAATATGACAGGACCAAGTTATTCAAGTAAACAATAATTGAGGAATCAATTTTCATGCATGATGACTGTCTTGAAAGAAAACCTGATCACAAGGAAAGATCATGCATAGTGTGATACACAATTGTACACAATTCATGCTTTGGAGTAGAAATAAGCAAGCTTACCCTATCAATTGTCATGATGTTTTTTGTTTGCTTTATTAAGGATGACCTTTAGAGAAACACCGGCATGCACAAGAACTGATCTAAACCTTGCAGTCACCTGGATTTTGCTCATCTGAAACTGGGCTCATTTGAAAGTACAGCACGTAGAGAATATTTCCTAAGGACAACATTTAATAAAGAATCCAAAGGCTGCAAAATGACTCTTTAAAGAGATTCCATTTTATTCCTGTTAAATATAAATGTAGTATAGCCTTCGGCAAGATGTTAACTTTATCATGGAGTTTTGTGCCAGCAACCACAGAATAACAGCAGCATCACAAGACTGATCCATCGGACACCTTTCATCAGATCAATGAGAAGTTATTTCAGAGAAGTGGCATTGTAATTCTGAATTCTACCATGAAAGAACCTAGTTCTCCAAACACAGGCAGGTAACTCCTGATAGGAAAGGACTCCAATCAGTGTGAAATCAGCAAGCCTGCACTTGCTAATGCAGCCCAAGCAGCACTGGGGTCAACCCAACAGCAAGGGAAAGCCATTATATATGACACAATGAAGAGCCTGAGAACAACCACTTTAAATAAACCAGTGAGTCATTTATTTCTCAAGGACTTTCAAAAAATCAAACTACAACACTGCTCTCTTCTACAACTGAAAAACAGCAGTGCTTTTGTTATATATAACATATGTACACAAATGATCCAAAACCCTGAGCTGCACTGGTACCGGTGCATTTCCTGACAAAATTTAAAACCCTAGGTCCAGACTAGGGTTTTCACTATATTTTCACTACTCCACAAATTAATGCCATTGATGCCACCCTAAACATCTTTTCTTATTTCTTCAAACTAAATACAAAACAACTGCAGAAGGGAAATCAGAAAGGACTTATTTTAGGAACAAGACCTTATAATAACTGGAAAGGATGACAGAGATATCTGAAGTGACAGTACACTTCATCTGTACTATGTACACATTGCTTGGATCTAAGAAAGAAGAAAGTAGTCATGCTTTGAAGGTTTAGGATTTTCACCAAATCCCGTCTGGGATATATGGCCTGCACATTCAAAAGGTGGCTGGATACCTCTGTTGGGTCAAACCCCTCCAAAGCACTTGCTTTACAGTTGACATAAACAAGGACTCTTTCCCAAACTGGAGCCTTTATTCGCAGAATACTGTCCTTAAGTACTTCAGCATTCTCCAAAACAAGAACCTGAAAAGCAGCTATGGGAATATCATGCCCATTTACTACATTTATCATCTCAGTGAGGTCACATCTAATGGATGCAGTTTAAAAGCAGAAGCATTTTGCCTCCTAAATGTGTCCATTTTTGCTACTGTAACAAACACTAATTACAAATAAACTTCTGTGTCTCTACTTTTTCTGTCTACAAGTATAGAAAATAGTGATTTGCTTTTCCTAAAGCCATTTCATTTAGACTAATGGGGATGTCTTATTTTAAAAAAAAATCACATCTATGCCAGAATTTCTTAACTTACTATTATTAAATTACTGTAGTAACTTAAGATATGACTAATATTAAAGAATCTTTCTCTGTGATTTTTTTCAGTCTTTCAGTCCTTTGAACAGTATGTTTTTTAGATTAAGTTTCACTGTATGATTCAACAGACAGTGTGTTTGTTTCCTGTTGTTTGCATGGGTATTTTTCAAGGCAACAGGAGAGAACAATGTTTTCAGAACTGGAAAAAGTGAGAGTAAAGCCAAAACACTGATGGGGCAATCCAGAGGCAGACACCCTGCTTGCAATTATACTCCCTGCTTAATATGACTTGCAATTTCAAGCTGATGGTCTCTTTCTAATAGCTATGGGAATACTTCGCAATTGTGAGATAGATTAGAGAATTTACTGTTATTACTCTGCTGTAATACATCACTAACTGTTGGTCAGTTTTTCTAATGAGAGTTTAGAAAAGCTGTATTAATTTGCCCGCATTCCATGAAGCATTGTGAAAGCAGACCATGCATACAGAGAAATCTCAGCTGGCCATTAGCAGTGTCTCCTGTCAGTTTGTGCAGGTCTCACATCTACATTAGTGTATGTTGGGGCAAGCTCTAGCCAGATGATGGCAGTCCATCAGCAGCTCCAGCAACCTGATAGTGCTGTTTATGATGTGGAACTCATTATTCAGGGGCCTCACTTCACTTCCTCTGCGCAGTAGCTGGTCTCAGCGGCACAGCACCCTCCACTGCATTTATGAATGGACTTGACGGAACTCGACAATTAGCCTCCAGTGTAACTGCATCACCCCATTGTTACTACACACGCACAGCACTCACTGGGGAACAAAACGCTGAATGAACCTGTGCAGCTGCCAACTCAGGCAAAGACAACTTAGGAAACTATCTCATTCTTCCTTTCTTTGGAGGCTATTTTGTCTGTTGTTTCCTTGCATACAAAATGTGGTCTGCAGCAAATAAGGCTGGGTAAGATAGAGCAAGCCCTGTTACTTGCCTCCAAAACCACAAGTCCTAAACACTACAAAGCAAAAAATAGATGCTGTATGTGCTTTAGACACAATATTCAAATGCTATCCATTCCAGATAAATTTCCATGATTTTACACTGGAAGAGGAGAGGAGAGGAGAGGAGAGGAGAGGAGAGGAGAGGGAAGAGAAAAATTAGAATGTGGTGGGTCTGATTTTTATTTCTGTGCAGAATTTTTTTTAGGTATCTTTATGCATGTACTTTTCAGAACCTGGAAAAAAATCCCAACTCTAAGATATGTAGCACATTTAAGTGAAGGCATTTTAAACGTTATTTATTATTATGTATCTAGTCCTCAAAACACTCAGACTCCATATTTTCAAGGACTCACAGCCTGCTGTTTTGACACAACTGTAAGAAAAGCTTCTACCTTAAGCTCTTATTTACTCTGAATTTTCAAAATTATTTAGAACACACCAGATCCCAACTATGAACAAACTTTTAAATGGATACAAAGTTTTTGTACCCATGTATATGCTGGCTCTGTTCTTTCCTTAATGATCATGCTGGGGGATCACTTGTTTAGTCCTAGACAGCTGCCTCTATGAAGATACCCATTATGTGAGCATATAACCCTCCTTAACAGCCAGAGTGTATGCGGCCAGCCCTTCTGGCAGCCATCACCCTTTTTTGGTTATGAACAACTTCAACCAGTTTAATTTGGGATCTAACCTTGTAAGCTTCTATCGAAGCTGAAGAATACTGAATGTATTTTATCATTTTATTATGAGGTAGTAATTCTTGACTTGTTGAAAGACTGAGGTTGGAAAAGTCCTCCAGACGTCATTTAGTTCCATCCTCTGTTCAAAGCAGACTGTCTTTAGGATATAATTCTGTGTCTAATTCTCACTGACTATAAGCTACAAAATTCCTGCATCTGGTCCAAGATACTTGGGAATCGGTAAGACCTCATCTACATACCACTGCAGTAGTCTCTTGAGCTCTTCAGATTCTTTAATATACTTTGCCTCCCAGGAAGATCTGGGCCACAGAGGACTTAAGGGAAGTCTCAGAAATAGACTCAGGGACATGCAAATAGTGACATGTCAGAGAATGTATGACCCACAGAACATACATGATGATGCTTCCAGGAACAGCCAGAGAGGCAGCTGGCAGTCATATCAACAGCAAGTAGGCACCCTGAGGAAGCAGTTGCCCTTCTAATGACTGGAGGTCAAGAGAGAGATTTGCCCAACACAGACTTATGGCAAAGGAGAACGCTGGTCAGAAGTCATGAGCAAGCCAGCATTAGCCACTGGGCTACTCCTCATATTGTGTAGTGTAGGCAGCAGAAGCAGGGATGCTACAGGCCTTCTCCAAAGCATCTGCTCAGAATGGAGACAGGATATTTTACTTGCTGGAAAGCTGTTCTGGGATGCTATGAAAATTCCTGACTTCCCAAGTTGTTTATTTTTCCATTGAAACAATCCACCAGGAGATGAACAGGGAACTCAGTTCACTTCCTGTGAGTAGGGTGTTTTTTTTTTTTTTTTAAAGAAATACTCCTTGCCTGCCAGTATCTGCTTTCCTCTTCCACAAATAATAAATGACATGTTTCTACCCTCCTGCAGCAAAACAGAGCAGAACATGCAACCACTCTCCTACAGCACTATATGACACTGGGTTGAACCAGCTCTTGCTGGCACTTTGGAGCAGTAATTATGAGAAAAGGCAATTCAGATATACCATAAAGAGCTACTTTCACTACCTATAATGCTTTTGGGCATTCTCAGTTTCTCCAAGACTGAAACTTGCTCCCTGGTGTTTATTTTGGTAGCTTGAAGGAGTAATGAAACTGAGCTTTGTGTGGCCCAGCTGTCACCCTCTCTTCAGACTGCAATTCAACTTCAACCAAATGGTCTAAGGCAGTTATTAATCAGAGGTAACTTTTATTGCTAAAATGCTACTGGCATGGTACCTTCTAATACCATCTTTGAAGTCTAGAGCACTGCTTTCAATTCATAATTCATACAAGGAAAACAGATACCAATGTTTAACCTTTGTGTTTTTGAAAGAAACACTTGTGCATTATTTACAAAACAGTGGGGTTCTAAACTAAATGCTGTTTACTAATAACATATTTTTGGTCTGATTCTTAATGAAACATCCATTAAAAGCCTAACAGTGTTGTCTGCCAAATGCCTCTCTCAGACAAATGTAAATCTAAAATAACTACATTTCATTTCTGTCTCCAGTTTATGCTGCCCAGATATGGCTATTTCCTAGCAAACACGCTGAAAACATTATTACCAAACAGCAAAATTTTAGAAAACCTCATTGCAGTTTAGTTGCATCAGGATTTCTTTATCAGCTGTTGCTCTGTTAGGCAATAACTTAAAAAAAAATCTACTCAATTATTGGATTTTAAGATTCCTCCTTGCTCCTGACTCAAAAGTATTTTCAAAGACTGAGAACATCTAGGCTGGCTAATCTATGCATTCCTGAACTGAGAAGCAGAAAAGCTGATTATAGCCACAAACGGAGCTGGGAGGCTGGCTGCAACCTAAGGGGACTCTCTGCTACCCTGCCTCTAGAAGGGTGCAGCTGGTGGGGAGGGCTCTCCCCTCTGCTACCTGAATGCTTCTGTAGCTGATGAGGAGGCAAAAGACAAAGGTTTAAAAGACAAAAACCTTTTCCTTGCAGAATGTAATTGTCTTTCCCACCATGAGATGCTACAGAAGCCCAAGAGCTCTAGAACCTTACTCTTCCCTAACTTCCACTTTGAAAGCCAAATCCTTTGTACAGTGAAGATAAGTGAATTGTTTCACTAAGGAACAGTTTGCAAACATCAGAAATAGGGAAGTGAGAGAGATATTCACTCAACTTTGAAACTCTCAGAGTAAAATATATTAGTCTTTACTCCTGATTAACACAGTCCACAGCTAACTCTTATAAAATCTAGCCAATACTTTTTTTCCACCAGTACATTTTACCGATGAGGTTGAGACTACTACCTAGTATCAAGATTGCCAGATCTTTCTGTAAGACTTTGGTTTCAGTTGCTTATCTCTTTGAAGTTTTAACATGTGGAATGAACTCTTCAAGTCCTCGATACTGATACCACACAAAAGAAAGAGGGAAAATATTTGTCAAAAAGTTTCTGCCATTTCCAAATACCTGGCTAATGAAAAATACACTAATTTGCCAAAAGAAAAATTCTAGTTAACTTTGGAGAGGGAAGCCAGGACTTCAAATTCTGAAGAATACAAACTTTCTTTTAAGGCTATCTCTGCCACAACGATGAAAATCCTCTACATTTGACAACATAGAAATGTACTGGGTTTTTTTACACATGTAGGTTCTCCGTAAACTTAAAATTTTAGCAACTAAGTTATCCAAAAGTTCCGTTTGTACTGGATTTCGGGTTGAGGGACTGATCTGTGGGTTGACATTAGGAGCAAAGTGAAAAGAGAATGTCTCTACTCAGTGCAGACTGACTGTTGGACAGGATGTGACTACTAAATGTTAAGAATTCTTTATTATTTCAGAACAGTCATTTTTTTTCTAAAGGCATATTATCTCACCCAAATTTGGGAAGATTTTCACCTGAGTGGCAAAAAGCACATTTCTGACATTAAAACAAATCACAAAAGTAAAACAGCACAAGAGTTTTTCAGTGAGAAGAACAACTTTCATTTTATTCTAAGTAACTTAGGAACTGCTAAAATGCTCTGGCAGTTTCTTTTTCCAGATAAAACAAATAGAATAAAAAAAATCTATGCAACAGGTGGTCTGTCAAAACTGGAAGTTGCTGCAACAAGACCTTACATGAGAAAGTGTCAGGATTCCCAAGAAAGCTTTGAGTACTTTCTCTAACAAAGAACATGAACATAAAATGTAAAGCTATGAATGCTGAAAGAAGAGAACCCAGGAAAACTTCCAAGACAGCCAAAGAAAGCCATATATTCCCCTTCAAACATGATCTTGTATAATATGCTTGTAACATGCTCTGAAAGTAAATTAATGTGGGCTCTTACAAGATCAAGGAGAAATAAACTGCCACCAGAAAGACACCCTGTTTGTGGCCCCAGAAGCCTTCATTGAGTTTCTCAGTATACAAATTGGGTGTAGGAAGAGTCAGCTTCCATACCAGCTAGGATCCAGACTCAAGCAGAGGTTTGCAGGTGGAATAGCAAAGTGTCACACAGAAATCAGCCAGAAATACTTGAAGAGGTGCAGGAGGAAAAAAATCTGGATTTCACTTCCCTTCAAGGAGAAGCTGTTTTTCAAGCAAGCACCTGCATTTTAGGCTATTGGGAGTCTCTGAATGTAACCAAAAACGTTACATCTCCAAAAAGACAGAACCAAGTTACACAATCCTGGGTCAAAACTTACCAAATACCTCAAATCCATCAGCAAGGGTGGTACTCCCTTCTGACAAGTACTAAATACTGTGGAAATAGTACGAGACATTTATCTGGAGTTCACCATTCTGGAAGACATGGTCTAATGACCATGGTCTAACGATTTAAAAAAACAAGCATTCCAACTCAGGCACTGCAGGTACAAGGTGTTAATACCTGTGTTCAGACTGCAGAGACAAAGTGTTAATACCTGTGTTCAGAAAAAGATACATGCAAAGCACTGCTTAGAGATTTTTGAAAGCATTTTTTCAGCTTCACAGTAAGAGAAGCAGGTGCAAAAGGGATTTTAGGGACAACTTTGCAAAAGTTGTCCCTAATCTTTTAGTTTTCCTTCATTCTGCACGCTTCCAAACTCCAAAATCATACCAACACACAAAATTGCCTGTGGCTACAACTCCTTGACTCCAAAATTTGAAAAAATAATTTCCCCTACTCCTTGCCATCTTTAGCTGGATCCCTTCAAGGAGCGGGTTTGAAACATTGGGATATGAGAAGTTTTGCGGACACATGTCAGCGAAAACATGCATGAGAATAAGCAACCAAGCAGAAGCAGTTTAACCAAGAGATGCTGCACAATAAATGAAAGCATGGCTGTGAGACATCTATCTTTTAGACAGTCCTTGAAATTAAGATCGCTATACATGAAGTTCTTAATGGCTGGAACTAACTCTTTACTCTGTGCACATTCACAGACTTGGTGAAGGACACGTGTGCTAACATAACTTTAGACTCTCCCCAAAACCTTGACTTCCTCTGCCCAATCTTCTGAGGACCCTCTTACATCTGCCTACTTGATGTCTAGGACATTCCCTGCTGTTTTATAACTGTCTGGATGCAGTGTGCAAAAATATTGGGTTGTGTTCAAGCGGACAAACATCCAGAGACAAACCTTCCCCAGGCCAATGACTCCCAAGTGTTTTTGCTATCCATATCAAGCAAGTAAACACAACAGATCCCTTTTATTCAGTCTAAATGGAACAACTGTCTAAATGAGTATTGTGCACTACTTGCTTCAGAATATGCATGTTGAATTTACACCTGAGATTCTTCTTCTTGGGTGATCCTACCACTTATTGATAGGTTGGTATGTATTACCTCTCAGCTTCAGACACAAAATCATCAGAGTAAAATGAATTTCAGCATGACAAAACATGTCAACTTTATGGGAGATGAAAATCCTGTTCATTCCGAGAACAAGAAATTTTTTTTTGCAATAGTATAAGCTTTTCTTCTCAATGCCCCACCAGAACAGCAGTCCAGATATCGAGAACCACATCCAGGAGAAACAAGGCTCACTCTGAATGCTCCATTCAGTCATCCTAACCTTCTGTTTTGACTACCAGCCAGGATCGCCAGGAGCTGGTTTTGCTGATGTTCCTGCTGAAGCTGTCCCCAGACCACCACACTCACTTCTCAGTCACCTGTAATGTATCAGAATCACCTTGTATATTTTCAACAGAGTTTTCTGACAACCCATTAAGTTCTCTGCATGAAATGAACTTAGAGGAGTTACAATCTTTCTGTGTATCACACCCTACACAAAAATGACAGTGTGGCTTACACCTGCCTCACAGTCTGTCAGTGCTTAAGTATGAGCTCATTACTCCTTTTAAATCCAAGATTTTCAGAAGATACCTCTATAAGGTTCAGAACAGCAGACTCTCTGCAGGTTGCAAACACACGCCTGCTGTTTGGATTTACAAACTAGTTGACCTTAAGCCAAACAGGAGTGCTGACTGCCCATTCATGTCACTACACAGCAGGATGCCAACAGCAGCTCTCCACTCCAACTGGTCTGACCAGGTAAAGCAGGGCCTATCAGGCACCTAGAGAGAGACAAGAGCAGGTGGATGACCTTCCTCCATCTGGTCTCCGTGAGCATTCAGCAAACTGTGAAACAGAACTCATTAATGAGAGGCCATGAAGTTCTGTACATGAAAAAGCCAGTGGGCTGAACCCTGCAAAGGCACTCTTGTCATGTAGCTTCCTACTTCCTTGGCTTAATTGGGCTTTTGGGATCAAGACAAGTTTGATGACCCAGTTCTCGACAGCACTCTCCGAAGTAAAATGAAACAGCAGGGCAGGACACTCACCACATCTGTGCTTGTGATCTTGGCCAGGAGCTCTGTTAGGCTGTCGCCACAGAGTGAACTTTCCCCATCATCACACTGAAGACCACAGATGGCTGCTCCCACACTTCCAGTAGCTATCATTGATGGTGGATACATGGCAAAGTTAAAATCTGCAAGAACAGATCTGGGAATTAGTCCAAGCACAAGCCAGAAAAGCTGCAAAACAGCAGAGGTGATGAACATAAAAACCACACCCAAGAATAAAAAAAAACAAAACAAAAAAAAAAAAAAAAACAGGAAAGTAGAAGAAAGACCAAACAGTCATTTCATTTGCTGGGACACTTCATTAGTCTCATTACGCATCACCAGTAGTCAAAGGAGATGCAAGAGTCTTGTGAATTAAAATGCAAATGCAGTTTTTTTTTCTTTTATTCTCACTGATGCATAAAGAAAACTTGGACATTTTTTAATAGTTTTTCTTAGAGAAAAGGACAGAGAAGAATAGAGGAGATTTCTACAGGTTATGTCAGAAATGTGGATCTCACTCATTTTAGAACTCTATGTACAATCAAAAAACTAAATGAGATTTTTAATCAAGACAGTTTTTACAGATTTAATTAATTCAAGCTCTTAAAAAAGTCTAGGAAAGAGATCTTATTTAGGAATTCATCTTTACCATTCTATGTTAAATATCTTTGCAATTAGGAAGTCAGAACACTCAGAACCCATAGCTAAATAAACAAGTTAAAGCTAAATTAATGTCCACACTTCTCAGACATCTGAGGAAACTGACAAAAAGTGATAAAACTGAACGTTGCTGCAAAGGCAATGGGCACCGGTTTATCTATTTTTTTTCCTTCCCCAGGAGATTTTCTGGGTTATAAATATCTTAAAATAAAATTCAAGTTCAACAGTTTAACAGTAACTCATTACTAAACTCTTCTTTTCCACTTCTCACTTGTAGGGATTGTAGGAGAGAGAAAAGGAAGCCAAAGGAATATTTAATATGAAAAAAATGCTATAAATACATTCAGAAAAGGAATTATTATGAACTGCCCTTTTGCTACAGATCTCAAGCTTTCTCCTTCCAGCTAACACGTCCTTCACTCCTGACAGTTTTTGTGTACCCAAAGTTGTACATACATGGAGAGTTTAGCTCAGTCTCCCATGTGCTGGGCTTGCTGATACCAGAATAGCTGTACAGAGCTCCTCCCCCATGCAGAGCATTCCTCTCCATGCTGAAGTATATCCCTGGGCTTGACTGGGAATAGAGAACTCATGTAAAACTGGGAGCCTTGTCCTCCTTTTCATCTGGACTGACTAGAAAGTGAGGCATGGGCTGGCATAGACTAGCAGGCAGATATACTGACTATCTGACTTTGACCATCTTTCAAAGAAAAAGAGATATAATCGTTGCTTTTGACAAGACATTTTGTTTGAAAATGGAAGTACAAAATTGCCCTGATTTTATGTTGTTTTGCCCCTGTTGATGCTCCTTGCTGCTGAATGGGAGCCTCAGGAGTCAATTCTGGGTGGCTGTTGCAGTGACTTGCTCCTGTGGATTGGTCTGGTATCATGCAGTGGAAGAAATGCGACAGCTGGAAGCTGGACCATTTGTTTACGAATTCCAATACAAAAAGAAAAAAAAAAAAAAAAGGCTACCAAATTCTTTTTTTAAGAAAATGTTTATATGCTTTTATGACTCTCCAGTCTTCTCCCAGTCTGTGGAATGAACAAAAAGGGTTCAAAATCATTTATATAAAAGATTTAATGTCTCAAAAATCTGCTGTTATCCACACCAAGTAAATTTTGAGTAATTCCACTCATTTACTTAGATTACAGAAGTGAAAAATTAAAGAACATTACAGCTCAACAGAGGTATTTCTCTTTGCAGACAAACTGCACTTATTCAGGCCTAACTCAAGAGTTAGAATTCCTCTCAAGCTGGAACCAGTTCCTGCAGACTCACTCACCAGGGCATGTATCACCTCACTGCATGTGAACTCCCAACAGAGCTTCTTGGGGTCATATGCCATCCTGTCACAATGCTCCAGGCAGACATGGATGGGAGTAGTTAAGGCAGGTGCAACAGTAGTACTTGCATATGAAGTGCATATGGGCATACGATACCAAGGAGAAGGCATATACTCAGACCTCCATGTGGCACACACAAACCTTATGTGATAGCATGAACCACATCTCACCTGACCAATGTGGCCTAAATTGGGGGTGCAGCCCCAGCCTTCAGTTTGTGAAGATACCAACCTGTGTCCTTAATTATGCAGGTAAAATATGGGCAGACAGGGATTTGCCATCATTTACCCCTCTTTGTCATAACTTTTAGGGAAGATGCAGCAGAAAAATACTGCAAGCCTTCTCAAATTCTTTCAGAGTTTGCAGAGCCCATACAAAAGCTAAGATGCAGTAGGTAAGAGTGAAGCTGTAACCCATTTCACCCATTCTCCTTTGTCAGCAACAGGGAGCAACGTGACACAGATCCACATGCAGAGCTGCTCAGGGAGGCTGATGTGGAAGACTCTAAGCAAAACAAAGAGCTAGTACACCTCATGCCCAATGCTTAGCACCACCTAGGCACAACGGGCTGAGTGAAGGGATGCTTTCCAGACTCTACTCTCAACATCCTTGTCCTTGAGGGACTGACAAGTTATTTGAATGCTGATCGTCTTGTGCTCCATCTTATGTACTCTTAGAAACCATGTTTTCCTAAGAAGCCAAATAAAGAGCTACAGTGCTTCTGCCAACTAACACTGCTGTAGGTCTGCTTCCATGTGGGGTCACATGAGACCATTTCTATGCCCAATAACCTTGTTAGTTCCCTTAATGTCATTCATAATGCAAATAAGACAGCTAGCGAATGGTCAGGGGCCCAGAATGACTAAAGCTAAATCCAGAAAGTCTTACATTGCTACTAGCTCTGAACTGACTTCCCTCCATGACAAGCACCATAAACTTGGCTATCAAAGCAACACATGCCCAGTCTTCGTTGTACAACAGGCAGTGATTTGTATCACTGGCTTCTATTTTTAGTATATTAATTAACTACTGCAACTGGTGAGGCCAGTGTCTCCAACTGGAGAGTGTGGCACCATTGTCTGAAGTCATCACCTCATCATGCACTATTGAAAATCATGGCAGTGACCCTCCTGCTGATATGAATTTAACCTGACATGTCCACAAAGGGGTGGGGGGTGGTGCACCAATTTTGTGCACATGGTTCTCAACATCACCCTGGACCCTATTAGTGGAAAAAGAGCTCATTCAAAGAAAAGATGCCACATTGTGCTGGGCCACCTAGAGGGTTGAATAGAAAAGGCTAAGGAAAAGAGCAGGCACTGGAAGAAAGGCTGTGATTAACATATTTCCATATTCAAGCAAAGCAATAACTATGTGAAATGTTTGTCAAGGTACAATGACCACATAAACACTAAGCACCAGATCTGAGGCAACACAGAGCCCTCCTGAGTCTCTTACATTCCATTGAGAAATTCAAAACAAACTTTTATACATTATATTTGACTACAAACATCTTTCTCTCTTCCCTTCATGACACCAAGTCAAATCCCACCAAACTTGCTCATTATTTACCCATGAAAAATTGCCCCTAGAGTTAATTCAAGCGCATGCCCTAAGTAAAAATCAAAAGAAGAGCTTGAACAGCTGACTAAAATACACATGCTTTTACTTGAAGTTCTTGTTGAAGATGATGAACACTGACTTACAGAAGGCACCTTATAAAAAGCATTTGTTACTATACATCTAAAGCAAGACAAGACTATAAATTCAGTCCTTCTTTCAGATGTGTATGTGACTGGTTAATTGGGAACCAATGCCTGCACTGGGGCTCTGACTCAAAACTACTGCTGTGATTTCTGAAACTTGAAAGCAAAGTACAAACAGGTGTCAGGGAAAGAGAAGCGAGCAGCCTGACAACGCATGTTCTGAAAGCACCTAAACACATTAACACACCAATAACCAGAATGGATTGTCAGAGTCAGGTCTTGTTTTAGCTCCTGTTCTTAGGTATTATTAAATCCATGGTGGCTGGGACAATTCATGTCTTTTTTGCAGCAAAGGTGCACTGCACCAGAGCTCGCACTGGCAGTTGGGGCATGCATGTGCTGAAGACGTTGCTCCAAATGTGCAGCCAGCTGCATGTCAGGTCCCAGGACTGACATGCTGGTGCAGAGTTGTTGAGCTGGCTTGTTCTTGCAGGCGGATCCAGTGGACTGCACTGCCTCAGAGCTGAGAAAAGGAAAGCTTAACAGGCTGTCTGTGGCTGGAGGCAAGCAGAGGCAGCCATCTGGAGAGGTCCTGTAAGGGAAAGCCCTAACTTGCAGCCAATAAAAGAAAAATGCTGAAAGGGAAAAAGAACACTGACAAATAGCGGGGCTGAACGTGCTCAGTATGCCAAAGCCAGGTGGGAATGCATGCCCTCTTTCAGTGACCCTTGTTATTGTTCTGGCTTTGGGTTTTCGTTTTTTGTTTGTTTGTTTTTGTTTTGTTTTGTTTTGTTAACAGCTAATTTTAATCTTTAAAACTTGGAAGAGGTTTATTTTCAGAATTGAAGTTGCAGAATTGGGAGCTGCTGTCTTGAGGAAGGCAAAATATCTCATTAAAAAAAAAAAAAAGCAACCTCCATCAGAACAGAATCATGACAGTAATCAGTTCTGTTTATAAAATATTTAAATGCCCAAAGAGAGAAAATGGCTCAAACTCAGCAAGCCTTAAATTTTAATCAGAGAGTGATTTTACTATGAGCATCTTTAGGAGGAGCTTGGGGACATGGCTTATCAGATGAACTATAACATAGTCACCACCACTTGTTGTGGTGTTGTGGGACCACTGTCATGACTGGAGTGCTGCAATGGATTGCTACTGGATCTTCAGGCACAGAAGGAAATGAGGCAGGGAAGCACTGTATGTTAGGGAGTCCTTTGAATGCATGGAGATCCAAGTGGGTGATGGAAAAGTTGAGTGCTAATGGGTCAGGATCAGGGAAAAAGCCAACAAGGCTGATATCCTGGTGGGAGTCTGCGATAGACCACCCAATCAGGATGAGAAGACCAACAAAACATTCTACAAGGAGCTGTCAGACATCTCACAATTGGCATCCCTCGTTATTGGGGGAGACTTCAACCTACCAGATGTT